ATCGCTCCCCTGCTCTCCAGATGACAGGACTAAAGGGCCAAGCGAAGCTTTAATAGGGGACTTGAAGACCTAATGAAAGAAACTGCCTGCCTCAGTATCAATTATCAAATGGCCTGTGGTTACATCAGGCTGGACAGATGGTGGTGGAGGAGAGGAGGCTAAATGAACAAGACAGACTAAAAGTCAATAGAGAGCCATGAAGTAGACATGAAGTTTATACAACAGGATAACACAGGCATAAGTCCAAGAGTGTAAACTGCTAATGCTGCTAAAGACTTTACACTTTTAGCTGTACATTACATGAAGCTAACAGCTGCATACAATTAATAATACTACATGAATTATAATCCATCTTATACACAGGGGTGGGGCCAGAGCGCACTAAAATCTGATTGCCCCCCGCCATCAGTAATGTTTTTTGATTTAGAAAAATCCCCCACTGATCACACATGTTCCATCCACACACCCTCTTTCATCAGTGAGTGAGTCAAACATATCACGTATCATTGTTGAAGCAAACAGCAGACGTGTGAGTCTACTGCAGATCTGTGGCTTCAAATGTCAACCTGACAAAGTGGCTTTGTGTGTCCAGGTCATTTAAAAACTCAGAAAGGTTACTCAAGGTCATCACGATGACGGATGTTTGGTGGCAGCGAGAGATAGCGCAAATACAGCTTTTATTAACGTGAACGATTGAGCTGCAACAATTTCACGGCTCATCGATCCTCATTGAGACACCTGCTTTGGTTTCTAAGCAGAAGATAAATCCCGGTGACCAAGACTGATTTACATGAACTGAAAAGAAGTACATAAAAATGTCTCAGAATCACAGTTTTCCATTTAAAAAGTTATAAAACAGATTTAAAATGCAGATTTGGGAAAGCAACAAGCGGCCATGCCTGTGAATGCTGAGGACAGAGAACATGTGGTGACATATGGTGTTTCCATATAACTTGTAAAAATGTTAGATAAGTGGTCTGTAAACAATTCATTTGTGTTGCCTCCACCTGGAAGAGATCCCCAACTTTCTGTCTTTCTTTCTTCTTCTCCTTTTTTGTCTATTCTTTCTTTATATTTTTCTCTTTTTAAACTAAAGAAATTAGTGGAGTTAGTTCAGAGATTTAATACAGCTGCTTCAACCTTGTTCTCTATCTGCTCCTCAGAGAGAAAAAAGAAAGAATCCACTGATTTCATATATTCCTATCCTTTTTAAACTTCCATTGTACCAACTGCATCTTAAACTATTGCACTGATAGATCATAAAAACGCAGGACATTAGTCAGTCATCATGTACAACAGCGGTGGTAATAGAACTGGAATTACATTTCAAACATCTGCACTAAGAGCATAAAGAGTTAAACCTGTCCAAAACCACAAAGCAGAGTTTTTATCTTAATTTAATTAAACTATGAAACAAACACCAGCCTCTGTAGAGAAATATGTATAGTAATAGCAATTTAATGGTGTGTTAATGGGATAACTAACTGAACTAATCCTGTATAAAGAAGGAATCCTTTGAATCTTTTTCTTGTTGATGAATTTTTCAGGGAGCACCAAACAAACAGTGATCATATTGTGATTATGTGTAATGAAGTTACACAACAAAGCCCAAAGTTTCACCCCTCAACAGGACGACCTGTGAGTGTTGGATTCCTGGAGTTACCTGACGTTCCTAGAAACAAGCTGTCATCTGGGTTCACTCCACATAAACAGAGGCTTCATTATCACATTGATCCAATGACAACCACAGAGGACGATCAGATTAGAGAACTTACTTCACTGGCTGGCGTCACAGGTGAGGACATGTAATCGCCAACACAGAGTGATGAAGATGAAGATGATGGTGATGATCCGGCAGCAGCTGCAGCAGATGTTCAGCACAGCGGACAGCTCCCCCCCTGGCCCACTCAGCCTGCCTCAGGACTGAACTCTGTCACATCCCACAGAAAAACCTCCTCCTCTGTCTCTGCCGGGGGCTTTTAAAGTCTCTCTCAGTTTGAGGGATCCGCCCCAGCTCACCCCCCCCCCTTCAACCCCTCCCCTCCCTCCACCCCTCCCTGCCCACTTATGACCGGCCCTGCACCGACTGCACACATAATCTTTTTCGTTTGGATGACTGAAGCGCCCAGAGCTGTGTGTGGCTTTTGCATTATGTAAGAGGGCTGCGTTGAGCACGGACAGTGAGGACCCTTCCAGCCATTCAGCCAATATGTTGCAGCGCCGGTTAGTTTCTGTGAGTGTTACCGTTATTTAACCCCACATAATACTGCCACAGTTATTTAAGAAGAAGTTTGAGTGAGAGATAACTTTTATACAGCAGTAAGAAACGTAATGTATGTCTGGTGCATGGAGAGAAAAAAAGGTGGAATGATCCACCATACAATTTATTGTTTAAATAAAGTGTTATATTGTAATATTTTAAAGCCCTCTGTGATGCATGTGCCGTAGCCTGTTTATTTCTTGTCAGTATAAACTGGCACAACCGTCACAGTTTTCCATCACTGAGACATTTCTTTCACTTTATAGGCTGAAATGAAGTCTCGTAAAATTATGTTAAGAGGTTTCAAAAGACAGTTATACAGAGAGTTATATATATACAGAGATACACTCACTACACAGAAGAAAAAGGTTTGCTTTGCTCAATGTGTAATTTCATCAAACAGGTTTATGGAGGAATATGTACACAAAATATGAAAAAACAAATAAAGATAAAACTACTTCAGCTTTTAGAAATTATGATGCAGAAAACAGCCCTTTATATTTTAAATTATATTCTGTAATTTATTGTTACTTTAAAAAAATACATGCATTATTTGTTCACTTTTGGCGTATTTGTGGTTTTCATGGGTACAGTCCTAAAATAAATAAGTGGTACACTTATTCCTAAATAAATTCATATGTTGTCATTTCACCACAAACTAACTGTGCAGCTCCAAAAGATCCTATTAACATTTTTATTAGGAGTAAATGACTAGATAAATATTTTCCTGTACAATAACAGGTTTATGAGGTTGGAAGATTCTTTAATCAGGTTGCATCAGTTTTTGCATGATTACATGATCAACCTGTCTGCACCCATGGCTAAGCTCCAGATACTCACTGTGAGAAGTAATTAATTGACACAAATAAAAACTGTACAAACTAGAGCACATTGCAGTCCACACACACACACATATCCACACGTCCCCTGCCTGAGGCTGCATGAGATCTCCCTGTTGGTTTAATTAATACTTGGTGAACGGTGACTCTGTCCTGATGGGGCTCCTGCAGCCCTCCCACTGCGATCATAATTGATAAAGGTCTCCAGCCAGGGTTATGAAATTCAACATTTCCGTCACAATCGTCACTGCTACAGATGGTGCACAGGGAGGTCAAGCAGTGGTTCAAGCAGCAGACATGGGTCAGTACTGTTGGATACCTGGGCATGTGACAGCAGGGGATTCAGGGTTGTATTTAGTATTTGTGTTGAATTTTATTTGTAAAGTTGCCCTCAATACTTAATTTAACTTTTTGTTCCGACCAGCGTGGAGTCCAGGCAAGTTGAAAATGATGGTGAGAGACAATTATTCCGACTTCCACAGAATATGGTTAAATTCCTCAATCATGCAAAAAGAGACATGTAACATTTTGAGTACAAACTGAGTTGTTCACACATGAATGAGTTGTTCACATTTATTTTACAGGAGTCAGATCACTAACTGTTCCAATGTTGCTTCTTATGAAACTATATCTTTTCATCACAGCCACAAAGATAGAATAAGCACTTAGTTTCAGGACAGATGATGCCTGCTTATATAATGTACTGATGTTGGATAATACATTGAATGCCTTATGTAGGTTAAAACACAGTTTGGTCCACTATGGGTGGAGTGGAGGACAAAGCCAAGTACAGTACTGCCTCCGAGGCCTTTTCTGCTCCCAGGCTATTGTGTTGGTGCATCCAACCAACTCAGTGGTCTGTGGACAGAACAGGGACCTTTTTACCTCCGCCATGTCTGTTCGTTTGTTGTTTGGAATTTGGTTGCCAGAAATATTTTTCATAGTTTTTTTACGTTTTGACTGTTTTCTTAGGAATAATAAACGCATTCTAATAAAAAGACACATTTAGGGAAGTGAAATCAAAGAGTGTGCATATTTTGGAATCATTAGAGACGGTTTGGCTTTGGCCGAGGTAACCTGTGCCATCCTAGTTTTATCCAGGTGCTCTCACCACTACCTTGGCTGTTAACTTGTCCCACATGTTAAGTCAAAGTAAAGAGAAAATGTTCTGCATAATCTAAATAATCATTCTTTATTAAAAGATGAACTTTCACTGAGTTTTTGTTTGTCCACACAGGCGTGTCAGAGTCATGAGCAGCGATCGGACTTTGGAGGATCGAGGGAGGTTAGTTAGTATAAGGACGTCCCAAGTCATTCATCACATCAGACAGCTGTGGGATGAGGTCCCACATATATTGGTCATGTGTGAATCTACAGGCATGCATTATTTAAAGCCTGATCTATCATCCCTATACTGCTAAATCCATAGGTTTATCAACCAGCGTCTATGGCTGGATCCATGGACATCTATCAAAGCATGTCAGTTTTGAAATGAGAAAACAAAGGACACAAACACACACACACACACACACACACACACAAACACAAAGACACACACACACGTACAGGCTGCAGAGTTTAATTTTCTCTTGTGAGCACAAACACACACAATGCATACAAAGCTGCTGACCGTAAGGAAGCTTGAATGGAGCAGATCATTATACAGCTCTTTTTACTCGGCAGATATATAAATAGAAAACTCATGAATATATTTGTTCTTAGGTCATATCAAAAATTCACTAATGTACAAGTTGTTTGATGGATTAATGCGTGAGTCTTAGAGGAAAACTTCAAAATGCATGTACACTACACATTTAAGTGAATTTCTCTTAAGAACATGTGAAAAGAACAAACCTGATTTCTGAGACCACTACAGACACCAATGTACTCCAAAGTATTAGTTGTTTTCTTTATTTCATTCAAGAGGAAATAAAAATACTCTTATACATGAACACATTCAGTTTGGTAAAACAAATACTTGCAGTAAATTAGCAGTAGGATATTGAATTAACAATACAGACTGTAACCGTCAGAACCATCCAATGTGAGACTTGCTGAAGATTGGACACAAGAAATTTGCCAAATGAAAAAAATCAGGATCCTGAAAATAACATTGATGCTGTTTGGTAACCAAATGTATATCTATACTGACAGAGCTAGGACTAGGTCCACCCCCTGATCTAGATCTATATGAAAGTTTATTGAGGTTTTTCCTGACCCATTCAACATCCTTAGAACTCCTAAGTCATTCGTCCAGTAGTTTGTGTGCATTCTGCTAATTAACTAACAAACAGACGTTGATGAAAACATAACCTACTTGGCAGTCAGCGATACTCATGAATCATTAACAGAACATATCAAATAAAAAAATAATCAAAAAACACGCACACACCATGATCTCATTCATAATATATTCTGATATTTATCAGGAGCTCAACTTCTCTTCACAATGGACGTCTTTCTATTTTGTAATTAATCAGAATTTCAATCTACAGTGACATACGTGTACAGACTCATTCATTCAACTTTTTATCTCATGTCTGAAAAGCCACAAACACGACAACAGTTCATTGAGACAAACAGCTGAAATGTGCAACATGAGATGGTGAATGATTCGCAAACAATAAAGCTGCCATGACGACAATAGCTGAATGTGAATTTGTACCGAACAAAGAGCCAGTCCTCAACATTTGATATATTTACATTAATTTAAGGGCTCATTAATATGTAGACACGTTTCTTCTGACTGAGGCTGTACAGACTGTACATTGTACATCAGTTCCACAACTGTAAAAAACATAAACTGTGTTTCAACACAAACATAGGGACACACTGTCTGTGCTTACTTGTGGTCCTCTGGTCGTCGTACATGAAGCAGAGCTACACATAACAGGATGGTCCAATTACATCATTCTATGGTTCAATCTTATCTTCAGCTGAATAAAGCAAATGTATTGATTACTTTAGATTTATACTTTTGGTGATTTCTTTTCATGGCTAATGGTAATAAAAAAAATGAAGCAGGTAATTTGATTCCACCTCAAATTTTGAGTGTTTCTATTGTGACGGGAAACACGCAACCAGAAACTGTTTGATTGAAGTGTCACTAAAGGGCTGGATATCCTGTAAAGTTGACTGTGGACGAGCAGTTTCTCCATGTTTTGCTGTCAGACCCTCTCAGACATTGGCAGGAGAATTAATGGCTTAAAGTAATATTTACAGCAATTAATGAAATGGTGAAATGTTGGTTCCAGCCCTTTCAAAATAAAAATGTTTTAAATACAGTTTGTATCCTGGAGACACAAACACGGAGCTAACCAACGCAAGAGACTACACAGACATGTTGTACACACAGTTTTCTATTCATGTTAAGTATCTTCTACCGTTAGTTTATCTCCTTGTTCATGTACATTTGTGAGTGTACCTTAATATACTGTGTGCAAATATTGTCTCTGGTGTAACACGGCAGCGTTCTCTGCCCTTGGATGTTGATGAATAAATATATGAGTCAGTATGTGTATTCCAGGCACATCCTTGTATCTTCTGTCCTTGTTCACAGTTGGTCTCAGATCCCAGCTGGACCTTTTCACCTGCCTCCCTCCTCCTCCTAGAGGACTTGCTCAGTGCTGGAGGCAGAGATGTCCAGGAGTCTCCAGGCTGCGTTGGGGTTCAGCTCCTCCTGGTCACGACACAACGCCCAAACATACATCATCCTCATCACCTTCTCCTGTTAAGGGAAGAAAGGAGCACAGGGTCAGGAGATAGTATGGAGGAGAGCAGAGGGCTCTTCTAGACTTAATTCAGATTTCAGAATAACAGCGTTGCCCAACCATAACTTATTAAGCATCTTTCTGATTTGGATTGTAATGAGGATGCATTATGCAACTAGACAGACTATACGCAGTAGTTAAATATTTATAAGAAATAATTAACACAAATGTATCAGTTGCATGAAGTGGAACCAGCCAGAGGGTGCTGCTTTATCAAGCCTGGGAAATTCAGAGTAATAAAAACGGATGTGAACAAGGTTGCCGAGTGCTGATATAGTTGCTCTCCTTGAAATGACTCATTATTTCTATTAGATTCACGATTCTGGTGCAGCAGTTGTGAGTTGACTGACCGGATCTCCCTCCACAATGTCTCCTTTGGGGCTACGGATCACCATGACGACCTGGGCCTGGAAGGTGATGATCAACACTGGGCCCTGGTCCATCATCTTACCCATCGCTAACTACAGGACAGGGAGGGAAAAGGAGAAAACTAATTAAAGGAGAAGAAAACATTTTAAACATTTTACAAAGATTTTTTGAAAAAGTGAAGAAAAGATAACAACAGGTATTATTTGGGATATCCGAGACCTCAGTACAGTTTGACACAGAGTGGATGTAGAAGCACTTACATCTATATTATCAATATCAAGGATTTTGGAGTGGAGGAGCAGCCCGAGCGCTCGGGCCTGTTGGATGGGGTGGGCCAGCTGACTGTACGTCTGAGGACAGGAACAAGATAACACATGACAGACTTGTGTACAAACGGAAACGGATGGAGCAACACATCAGTTATTTTTTGTGAAGTGTAGATGTGGAAGTGAAAAATCACTTACAGCTTCATAGCACCAGTCCTTCAATACTTCCAGCTCTCCACGGATCATCGCCTGCAGAAGGGACAGTGGTTATAAATGGTTGTTGTAGTCTGCTCCAGCTATTTTTTTTTAAATTCTTGTTTCATCTATGCATGCAAAACACCATCAATAGTTTTTATTCTGTGACTTTGGAGTACAAACCATTCTGTTCAAAGAGAGTTTCCTGCCATTGAGAATTTCAGTCAGTTTTCTATTTCCTTGCTTTGAAATCTATTTATAATTCTGACTGAAAACACGAGTTATGAATGTTATGTAGAGCTGCATTTATACAGAGAGAGAGACACAGAGACACAGAGAGAGAGCAGCAGAGTGTGTCTACCTCCAGTATATTCGGGATGATGTCTTTCTCACACTGTTTGAGGAAACAGTCTTTGTCAAAGTTGGGGTCTGCCTTCAGGATCTCTGTTAGCACCTCTGACATTTCTGTCTTGGAGAAAAGACCACCTGGAAAAACAAACACAAACAACATCAGCAGAGGCAGCAACAGAGGGATCACTTCTTCCACTGAATGCAGAGCTTTTTTATTTTTGATCTCCAGCATTAGAAACTTCTCTGGGACTGGTTCTCGGTGTCTCCACATTACTTCTAATCGCTGTAGCAAATTGAGTTTCTGTTGCTATGGTTGCTCAGGTCTGGCAAACTTGCAGCTTGACAAAAAACATCACTACCGGTGTGCAGCATGGTAAATATTTATCTAAAACCAGACTATGGCCACAACATGGACCATTTCTTTTTACAGTTTGCTCATGTTGATCATATAAAAGTTTATATTAGCCAGGATAATCATAGGTAAGGTTTTTGTAAATTTGTGAATTCAAGGATAGAGTAGCATTACCTAGAAAACCAGTGACTCTGTCAGTTACAGCTCTGGATGCTCTGATGAGGCTGTTTTCACTTTCATCATATTTCATCTTCATCTCAAAGAATCCTGAAGAAAACAGAAAGGACATGAGGACATATTATTTATCAAAATATATACACCGCTCTTTTTTGAGTTGTATAAATAAATCCTACAGAGTTAAGGGGACACAGGCCTCTCACCTGTTCCCTGAACTACATGAGATTATTCCATCTACCACAAATAATCTACTGCCACCTGCTGCCTTTAAAGGAAAGTACACATGTGCTTAATGTAGGTGATGTATTATACAACAGTAATTTCACAGAATCTACACTGATAAATCCAGTGGATTTTCTTACTGTTAAAAACTGCGTTATTGTCCTTGAAGTCCTTCCACTGCTGGTACCACTTTGAATCCTTGTGGAGGACCACACCCATGTCCTCTCTGGAACACATAGCTCACTCACATTATTACAGATTGGTGTCATTATTATAGGATGTGATGCTCTTATAAGACAGTAGTGTTGAAAATATTTTCCAACTCACTCATTGGCCTCAAACACTCTGTCGTCTGCATTTGCTCCTTTAGAGGAGAAGTCGCTTCTCTTCCTCAGCTGGGGGGGGGCTCTGTACGGGCCGGCATCACCGACATCTATCTCCTTCTTCATGGTTTCCACACCCTGCTCAGAGGACACACTCTGACTGTAACTCGTTCTACATATGTGTAAAACCTAAATTCAAATGTTTGGAAATATTATTTACAATATATACTAGATTTTACCACTGTGCTGTCGAGTCACAGTCTTATAACAAACTGTGAATGTGTAAATATTGCATATGTAACAGGATACAAAGTGAGATGACGATAAAATAAGATACTTTGCCACAAGTGCTACAGTTCTTGTCATCTTCATCACTAACCTGTGAGATGGCTCTGAATGCACTGGTCCTGCCCAGTTTTTCTCCTCCTTTGGTCACAGACTCTGCAGAGTGCATGGCCGTCCTGGCTGCTTCCTCCACACCTTCCTTAATCTTCTTCCCGATGTCAGTGCGACTCACCTCCTCAATACCCTACAGTCACAGTGACAGAACAGTACACGAGTCCTTCAGAGGGTGAATAGGCAAGTTTATCCCACCATTAAAAGTACATCTAACACTTCAACATTTTTATACTGAAGAAAATGCAGTTAATAATAATAAGACAGAAGTGCAAGATTTTCAGAATGTAACTATCAGAAATATAATAAATTGAGCATTTCTTGATTTTGTTTCATACATACTGGATTTATACATATGAATCTTAAGAAAACAATCAGTTCACTATGTTAACGATATGTAAACGGTATAGAGGTTCAACTGTTTTATTGTTATTGTGAGGAAATAATAGTTTACCTCTTTGACAGTTTCTGACAGGGAGCCAAACGTTTTCTTAAACACCTCTGAAGTCTTCACTGTCTCAGCTTCAATAGTTTTCTATTGAAAGAAAAAAGAAAGAAAGAAAGAGACAGACAGAAAAAGGTGACAACCACAAAGAAAACAAATGAGTGAATGTTGCAAGAAATGTCCAACAAATCTTGGTTAATGCAGATAAATTCGATGTTAAATAAAAGATGACATGTATGGTAAAAATGTTCTTACATATTTCTTGCGGGCCTGTTGGAGAGCGTCCGACTCTTCAAGCCTCTTGGCCTCTTCCCTGAACTTCTTTATGTTCTCCTTCATCTCCTGATTCTTACCGAACTCCTGACGAAGGTTATCCACAAACTCCCCCAGGAAACCTTTACGTCCTGATGCATATCGCACCTAATGACACAAGCAGAGAGTAGAACAGACAAGAAGTGAAAAGATCATCCACAGGTTGCAGCCGGAAAGCCTTTCTTTAAAATAAATACATCTTTGGAGTAAAATCAATGTCTAAAGTTAGTGAAACAACAACTCGTTTTTTATTCATAATAATACAATGGTTATTGAAGTTGTTAAGGTGATTGGAAGATGTCAGTGTGTACCTGCAGAGCTGCAGCTGGGCTCCTGTGTAGCCTGAGCACATCTTCTCTCCACACTGAGGAGACCGGGGAGCGGGAGCAGAGGGCCAGAGCACGTCTGCCAACCAGCTGCAATGAGGAAGAGAAAGTCACTGTAACAAACATCAGCTCAGACAACAAGCAGCAGTTGTTGTTTTTTGCAATCTTATCTGAAAAACAATCCAACTCTGCAAATGAACGCAGTCAACATGTCTGTATTTGTAATGCTTCTCAGTTCATGCGACTTTTGATTTGTCTGCAGCCCCATGTGTCACGGATTGACTCATGAGTGGTAACATTTCATCATTGTAAGTGAGAAACTACAAGATCCAAGTTTCTAACCCTTCAGATTCGGTGGCTCCAGTATCAATCTCAGCTGTGTTGACACTGCTAGTGTTTTTAACATGAATGTTTAATGTGTGTTACTAAATAATAAAATAAAAAGTTGACCTTTAAAAACCAGAGTAACAAGGTGCCTCACTTTATCAAAGTGCATAGAAAGCAGATCATAGAAAAGCCAGATCATACTCAGCAGTAAAATAAAACAAAGCAGGTAACAGAACAACATTAAAACAAAACTGTGACCCTACAATATCCAAATATTACAGATTATGTTGCTCATGTTGAGTAATGTGACAGCAGTGCACAGGTCTGTCACTGTATTTAAGCTGCATTTAGGGTGCACAATGTTCGTAAATAAGCGATTCAGTAAAAAAAACATAATTTACATAGAGAAGACAGTTTAAAGTACCAGTCAGAATGCGCTGTACAAGAGATGTGCTGCTGTACTGTGCTAATAAAGCCTTTTACACCTGATGTGCGTTAGAACTGGTCACTGGATCGATGTTTCTGGATCTGTCCACATGCACGAATGTAAACGGTTGACATGTAAACCAAATATAAATATAACTCAAATTAAAACTTAAATTCAGACGTTTCTATCTGTCGTGCTGCTGATGACAGCGGGCCTCCACTGACGGAACCTCTCGCTCCACATCTGCAGTGAGTCGACACGCGCTGCAGGTATCACCTCCGCACATCCGGACGGTTAAACACCGACAGTACTCTCGGTCTGTGCCTGATCGCCTCAGCTCTCTGTGCACTGAAGGACATGAATGGACTCACCTCGTAGCACCGACACACGGAGGCTGCCATCTTGATCCTGAAGTGCACGGAGCTCCACGTGCTTCAACCCTGCACCAGCTGACCGCCCGCTCCACCAATAGGAGCAGAGCTGAGGGGGCTAGGGGCGGAGCCAGCTGTCAGCGCAGACTCCTGCAGGGAAATCAGCCTTCAAATAAAAGAGTAATTAAATAATATGGTAAATTATTTTACCATATTTCAAGACTTTGTTTACTCTAGTGATACATACAAGTTTATCTTATTGAATGAGTTTTGATAATTGCTGTTATATGTGTACATTTTCAAATTGTAATAAAACAAAGAAGTGATCTTAATAATTCTGCATGTATTTTAGTTTTTTCATATTTCTTTTGAATCATGTAATGTTTTGTGTAGCCTTTCCCCTTTCATATTGTTTCCATGTTTTATACTAGTTTACTGGTGCTTTATTTTAGTGTTTATACTAGATGTTATTCTACAGTCTTAAATCAAGTAAAAATTGTTGGGATTACTTACCATTTTTTACTTTTTATTGTCATCTTCATTCTTTCACAAAGTGCTTTACATAAATAAAACAATACCATGAAAGCAGCAACAAAATTATATATAACATATATGAAACAGAAGGACATTGGAAAAAAATGTAATTGAAAAAAAACCTAATAATAATAAATAAATAATAAATGTACTTATATAGGTGTTTTCCAATCCACCATGCCTCTCAAAGAGGACGAATGAAAACAAAAAAAACTGAAAAAATACAATATCATTTAAACAAATTCAGCTAATGAGGTGATGCAAGTACAAAAAATAGAATAATACAACATAATTAATGGTAAAGAAAAGATAACATAAAACATCTGTGGACTAATCAAAAAGAAAATCAAGCAAAGCCATTTGGTGGAAGTAAGTTTTTAAGAGATACATAAAATGCTTTGTGATGCAAACACCCCTTCATGTGAGCCCTGACCTTATTCTCTCCATTGAGAACCTCAGTATGAAGACAATGTGTCAGAATGTGGGTCCACGCAGCTGAATGGTACAGGCAGGTCAGTAAAGAGCGCCCCCTGTGGCAGGTATGTGAGGCGCAGGGACTCCTCCCCTCCCTCTGCAGAGTTGCAGCTCGCCCCTGACAGCAGACACTGGCGCAGACTCCCAGCGCAAACATTCACCTTTATTTTGATTCTCCTGACGCACAACGACCGTCCACAGCCGCACTCCTCCGCACATCCTCTCCCGGAGCAGAGCAGCGTCGGAGCGGCCTCGTCTAGAATGGGGAACCGAGACGATGAGTACGATTTCTTGTTCAAAGGTAAAGAAAAAAAAAAAAGATGACTGCAATGCATTCCCCCCTCTGCTCAGTCTCATACCGACAGAGCTGTGCTGTGTAAATCTCCTGTTGTGTCGTTGTCGCTCACCACATGTGTGTTTTATTCTAAGGAAAACATAACTAATGTGTTTCCCAGGAGCTTATACTCGGTTATTGCAACATAATGGTGTCATTGTGACATTAAACCGCCTGCAGCTGTATTCATAGGTGCAGAGGAAGCAACACCCTGTCAGCGTTCTTCATCTTTCATTATTAAACTTTCATCAACTCACACAGCAGTATTTGACTCATGTATCTCCTGAAATTTGGTGTTTTCCTCCTCGCGTGGCTGATTGAAGGCCTGTTATTCTCCTCCTCCTCTGATCAATAAGCTCCATCCTCAGATCACACAGCTCTTATTCACACAGGAGATGCAGCAACTCATAACTCAGAGTAGTTTATGGTGTTACTGTGAGGATCATAGACTTGGGCCTGCACCGGACTCAGGTCCATGTTTGGATCCAGAAAGCCTCCCTGTGATCGTGATATCAGCTCCTTGGGCACATTAACATCCTGGGCCTGCAGGAGCCAAAAGGCCATTTAGATGTAACAAAGTATCCTCTGTGGGATGAATAGGGCATCTGCCGGAGGCTCTCTCTCTCTCTCCTTCCTCCTCCCTGTGTCTCTGTACCTCTCCCTCTGCCCGAGCCATCGTCTGTGTGTTCCCGGCTGGAACAGGAAGGGCAAGGCGGCCCTGAAACTGTCGATTCAGGATTTGATGGAGACTGTTATCAGCTTCCTGCAGCCCGAAACAGCACCATGTCGACAGGGACAAAGTTCGACTCTATTTCCTCTTGCGGATGGAGGGAGGGAGAGAGAGACAGAGTAGAGAAAAACAAAAAGAAGAAAGCTTCAGCTCTCTCTGCTGTGCTGTGATCAGCAGCAGCCTCCTGAGGTCCTGACACCAGCACTGCTCCTGCTCCAAGAGGCCTGATCAATCACTTCTCCTCCCATGACTCATTTACCACAGCTTCAGACCAGGCCTGGAGAACTGTTGTTGTCTGGTTATACAATGGATGCTGAAAAGTAGCTGTTCAGCCCCACTGCTGCTGCTCCACAGAGACTTTGTGGTCAACTTGAAGTATTTGCAGCTGTTTTCTTATTTATAATGTTGGCGTCAACTTCCTGCAGCTCTTCCCTGTACATACACAGTGAATCTCTCCGTCTACAGTGTTTTCAGAAAGGTTTCAGCAGTTCACTCTCTGAAATCGTGAAAGGTCAAGCTTATACATTTTAAAGATTGAAACCCGACTGATGCAGATTTTGTAGGGAGCAAAAGAATGCCATCACAAACATCGGCTGTTATATATTTTAAATAAGTTGGCAATCATTCTTAAGATGATGTTATCAAACTTTGTCAAAGACAAGTAAATGAGGCTTGATACTTTATGTCTTTATTGTTTTATTTAACAATAAACCTTATTATAACAGAACAACAACAAAAACAAACGTAGACTTTGAGTTCAAAAATTAACATAAATGCACATAATTTCTGCTTAGTTTTCATGTCTGTGTATATCAGCGCTATGAGCAGATTCTGCTCTGTGGAAAAAAGATAACAAAAACCCTGTGCTACATTATTTAGCTTTTCTTGGTAGTTTGCAGAGACTAAGAGACTAAACCACCTCTTTAGTTGATCATTTAGGCTCCCAAATGCTTTAAATCTAGTTTGAGATATTTCCAGTGGCTTAAGTTGAATATATGTTGTGTTTCTCTTGTGCAGTTGGTTACAAATAGACGATTTTGCTTTATGTAAGTCGTTCTCTACAGTCACACCCAAAATATGGTGGATATGCAGAACGCTTCATCCCAAAGAATGGCTGCTGAGTCAGTGAATTTTCTGTGGAGCCCTCAGGTCAAATCTAGCAGGAGGTATACAGATCATTTAGTTCATTACAGCACACATGAATTATGGGTTTTTGAGGGAGTGCCGCAGTACAGGCCTGTGTTTGCCACCATGTCCCACATTGTTTTTGATATATTGTGAGGCCTTACTGTTGTGTTGATAAATGCTGCTGAGATTCCGTTGTTTATTTCCAGAGACTCCAAAATGATTCTTTACGTGGATCCACGAGTTGAACTGAATTTAAGATTAAACAGGACCAGAGCTTTGACTTGTAACACTGAGGTTATATATTGATTCAAGCCTTGTATTTTGTTATTTCCTTTAGAAGTGTGTGTTTTTCATATCCCATAAATCATCTGACACACACAAACACGAAGCCCCTGTGTTCTTTTGTAACCAACATTTAGGGGCACTTCTTTATGCAATATCATCATTTCTTGGATCTATAAATACAAAAGGCCCTTTCAATCACACATACAGCAGAACGCACACACTTATCTCATCTCACCCCTGCCTGTCTGCTTCTCTCTCTCCCCACAGTCGTGTTAATCGGGGACTCGGGCGTAGGGAAGAGCAACCTGCTCTCTCGATTCACACGGAACGAGTTCAACCTCGAGAGCAAGAGCACCATCGGGGTGGAGTTCGCCACGCGCAGCATTCAGGTGGATGGCAAGACGATAAAGGCTCAGATCTGGGATACGGCGGGACAGGAGCGCTACAGAGCCATCACCTCTGCGTGAGTCCATCTGTGTGCGGTGCAGATAGTTTGCCTGTCACCCAACACCCCTCTTGTGTGGGGAAACAGTTCAGCAATGCAGTTATACCCAATCCTGAAGGCCACTTCTAATGTGGCTGTGTTCAGCAACAGCCAGTTAAAGAGGAAGATGGTACTTTTTAAATAAGAAGCATGGTCACAGATGAAGAAGGTGTTAGCTGGTGGTTTGAAGAAATCAGAGTAGCAGCATCAATACACAAGTGAAGATTAAGAAACAAAGCTGACTTCTTATCATTCATTTAAATTTTAATATTTAAATACTTTCTATTTACATCCGGAGCAAGTCCTCTCCACGGAGGCCACCATGTTTTTTACAGTAGTCTTGCAACCTGAAATTTCACCACTAGATGTCCCTAAATTCTACACACTGAACCTTTAAATTTCTTAGGACACAACCACACCACAAACTTCGTTTAATTTCTGTCTGGAGCTTTTTCTTTTAACATGATCATCATATATTGACTTTTTAAATAATCATTTGGCAGAATAAGACACAACATATTTGTGAACATCATGTGATGTGATGATGTGACATCCAGTATTTTTCATTTGATGGAATGCAGTTTTGTACAACTACAAACAAAAGAAAACAAATGGTCAGATGAAATGATAGAAACACTGATTTTCCTGCTAAAGCTCACAATCTCCTGGTCTGGTTACAGATACTACAGAGGGGCGGTGGGGGCACTCTTAGTCTATGACATAGCCAAACACCTGACCTATGAGAACGTGGAGCGCTGGCTGAAGGAGCTGAGGGACCACGCCGACAACAATATCGTCATCATGCTGGTCGGCAACAAGAGCGACCTGCGCCACCTCAGGGCCGTGCCAACAGATGAGGCCCGGGCCTTCGCAGGTATAGAAACTTAGAAGAAGACACAGGAAGGTTCATTTGGAATATGAGGAAACATTAGTGTTTTTTTTTACAGATGTTTGATGCATCTGCGTCTTTGCCTGTGGTGCTGTAACAACTTAAATCTGCCTCAGGGGTCAACAAAGTGTTTTGTTAGCTCCATTTCACACTCACTTCTCCATGGTCTGTCTGTCTTGTGAATTTGAAGAGAGAATAACAGAAATATTACTTCACTGTTTTTCTAAAGGTGACAAGAAAACACTGTGTTTTCTTCTCTGACTGCTATAAATTTGTGTTTTCTTTCTTACCCCAAAGAGAAGAACAATCTGTCATTCATAGAAACTTCAGCGTTGGACTCCACAAATGTTGAAGAAGCCTTCAAGAACATCCTAACAGGTATGCTAACAAGCAGAGCTAATAGTTCATTTTGGTTTAACATCAGACATGAACTGTCCAAAGTGTCCAGACAATTGGACATCCTTTGGACTTTGCCTTGATGCAGGAGGCAGGACATAATGTATGCATGACAATGAAAAATCTCTTGAATCTTGTTCTCTTTCCAAGTTGACCTCTTTGTTGGTGTCTTCTATCTGATTGAAACTCTCTTTATTATACTGGGATATTTTTAATCTTTTTTGTTTGACATTTCCTGCTGTATTCTCACATGGACTCATTTGGACATTATCCAGAGCTTTAACTAGAGGGATGGCTAGAAAAGCAAAAGATTGTCAGGAGCAACTGACTCAGACATTTGTGTTGTCACATGCAGCCCCTCTGGGAAATGTCAGTAGAATATCCTGACTTTGCATGTCTTCTTGGATTTATTTATACTCAAATGTGTTGTAATGGTAACTTCCTCTTACTGTGAGAAGTTCTTATTTGTCGTTTGACCTACCTCGTCATCACCACAGGTTTTCAGCATTGACGTAGGTATTTGTGTTTGTTTGGATGTGCTGCTGTACCAAGTAGGAAGTAGGTTATTGCTACCCTGCCTAGTAGTTTAAACTAGTTTCAGTTTTAGATAATGTGGTTAAAAAGCTAATCCTGTATGAAGATCTTAACCACAATTTGGAATCAAAGAGTCTGATCTGTTTGTTTTCCTCTGTTTCATCAACAGAAATCTACCGCATCGTCTCGCAGAAACAGATTGCCGAGCGGTCTGCCCACGACGAGTCCCCGGGAAACAACGTGGTGGACATCAGCGTGCCACCAACCACGGACGGCCAGAGGGGGAACAAACTGCAGTGCTGTCAGAACCTGTAACACATGGCAACCATCCCTCCTCACCTGGGTCGATTATTAATTGAAATCCACAGTGTTTGTGTGCTTCCATCTGCCTGGGTTGCGATGTCGTCTGAGTCTGCACCTCGTAGATCAGTGGTGTCACCTCCATTACTCCATAATCGATCAATCCCAAAACAAAGTGTTTGAATTGATTTCAAATAGTAATCGGCCCCAGGTACAATCTGCTACATCCTAATGCAAAAAAACAGGACTGGTGGTACCTCGTAAGTATCTACCACAGTTACCCACGAGATAGTAGCAGAACAGTCTTGTAAGCCCAGATGTCTCCCTGGTAGATGGTTATTGCCACATGCTGGAGGCGTGGGTTTGAATCCTGCCTGTTTCAGTCGTACCAGCAGTCTTGTTTTTGGACTCCCCTCCTCCATTCATCATCTCAAAAGTGGTTGTGACGCTACTGAAGCTTATTTCATTTTGTGTAAAATATATTATTTTGTTTGTTTTGATTTTGATAGCTTGTCTGCGCACATTATATTAATGCCATGAAATTAAATTTTACAATATTATGTTTCTGTGGTCTTTTTTGTTGTCATAGAATATACACACCACAAACTTTTTAAAGCCTGAAGATACATTTTTATGTTTTATATCATTACATTGTTGTGCATAGGTGACATGTTTCTATTGTGACAGTTTAACTGCTATATACTTTAAAGGGATAGTTGACCCAAAAATGAAAATTCACTCATTATTTACTCACCACTAGGCTGATGGACCCTGGACAGGTCACCCGTTTAAACATACAGAGAGAATACCATTCATGCTCATGGTAAATTTAGAGTCTCCTATTAACCTAAGCTCAAGGGAGGAAGTTGGAGTACTTGGAGAACACCCACACACATGGAGAGGAAACTCAACACAGACAGTTCCCACCGAACTAGGAATCAAACTGGGAACCTTCTTGCTATGAGGTCACAGCGCTAACCACTAACCCTAACCCTTTTCCGTTTCATTTGTAAAATAAAAAAGATTAAATTGATACATTGATACCACAGTACCAAATTGTGCACAAGTGTAGTATTTGAGGAAATATTCTGTTAAACAACATTCAATGATTAGATATATTCCCAAACAATAAAAATAAATATCTAAAACCACCAGACAAATCACAGTTCACACTGACTGAATCCAGGAGTCCCTCTTGTTTTATTGCACAATAACCCAACTTTCCAGGGGATGCAGCAGGAAGACTACAAGAACACAAAATACTTTTGTTTAGCATATGCTGCATACATTGATTGACATCTCAAAACAAATTGATTTGCACCTTTACTGAGTAGCAGCCTACTCTTGATACATTTCTGTGTTTTATATTATTAGGATAAAAGTCTGTAATCTCACTATTCAGAACACTGTTTCTCTTCTATTTAAAGTTGCATCTTTTGTGATGTAGGTCATTACTACTGCTCGTTGCTAGGTGGTTCAATTTATGAATGGTGCATTTACACGTGGAGCAGGGCTGTTTGCAAATGCATTTTTATGACAATAGTAGAAACGCTATCCAATTGGAATGTTAACACTTTTCCACATGTCAATACTATGTCCTGATACGTTAAAGCGCTGCCGTTTAACAGATACAGTTTCTGTTGTCCCTTATAGTACAATCTTCCCTGACCCTGTGACAAGTGTGATCGATGTGCACTGCTTCAGCTGCTGTTTAAAAAGAAAAGAAATTATTTGAGTGGCACCATTTAGGCAGCGATGATAAAGCTTTCCCTGGAAATTTTAAAAGGGTTCAGATTATAGACAAGAACGTGTGAGCGACTGTGGCCCTCTACTTGTCGAGAAAGAATATTCACAGATAGTCAATCATGTTTTTGTAGATTATTATCCTCTGCTGGGCTACTGGCTACCCATTGTTCAAAAACAGCTAAATACATTGTGAAGGGGCATGGGGGAATTATAGGTAGTGTGAATATGTTTCATATTATACTGTAGTAGCATGCTGATTCAGTTATATCCTGCTACATTAGCTTGTGTCTTAGTATTTCATAGGTTTGTGTCACAGATGTACAGTTGGGCTGGTTAGTCCATCGTCCATGTATTCAGTCATTCAATTCCCAGCACTGGCTGTCCGATGACAACTCTGTGTTTCAACATCAAACTATGACTCCGGAATGAGTTCTTCCCTAAACCACTTCTGTGGTCGGTCAATACCGTAGTAGTTTACATCAAGTGCTTCAACAAAAGAAAAAAGGAAGGAGAGAGTAGCTCTCCCCTCTCAGAATGGTCCACTGAAGTGCAAAAGTTCATTAATATGATTAATTTTGTTTTTTAGAGAGTGCTTCCGCGGGCATCTTTTTTTTTTTAAATATTCCTCTCGCCGCTGCTCCGCACTCATACGATGGTCTCATCAGTCATTTTCTTGGTCGACTTGGTCGGCACCGAACGCTGGGTGGTGTGTGCCCCCTTCATGTCAGGCATGAGCAGGCGCACTTTCTGATTGGTCCTCCTCCACTCAGAGTACAACTGACAGTGATAGCGAAAGGACACCTGAGATAGAATGGAGGTGGAGGGGGAGAGACGGGTGGTGATGAAGGAGAGAAAGACAGACATCAATTGACTGATACCCAGATATCTGAGACCGAGTAGTACGAATGCAGGATAGGGATTAAATGCTGGAGTTGCTGCTTGACAGGTGCTCAGAATCTAAAAGAAGAAATTCTAATCTTGGACAGTTTTTCATTTTTATGGTTCTTTTGCTGAAGATTAAAAGGGCTGGTTTTCTGCGTAAGATTTCAGATTGACTGCACATCCTACTTTTAAAGGATATGATCCAGTTAGGTTCAGATAAAGAAGAAAAGACAGTTCTTACTATTCTCAATCACACTGGGACCAGAACAAAATAACACAATTACTACAATAATAAGCAGCAGAACATAAATCTGTGTGGCTGGTGTCCTGTGTCTGTTCATGATAGTTTTCCACATTCAAGTAATTAAATCAAGATGAGAAGCATCAGAGCAGTATTGCAAACCCTGCATGTGGGTCGTAAATACCCCAGTCAGGTAATGCCGACTTTTATACCACATGATGATAGATGATTAGTTAACACAAATACACAGTGAATCATGTCTCTAATGTTATGTTCTATGTAATTTGCTACAACATGCTTTACTACACTATATAACATCATGATGACGCTATTCCAACCATTTAAGCATAAATTAATTTTTGACTATACAAGCTCCAGGCCATTGACTTTTAACAGATCATCTCAAAAAGTGAATTATCTGAAGATGCCTTCTCAAGTATTATTCCCTCCAGCTTCTGTAAAAAGTCAAGAAACCATTTTTTTAAGTTACAGGAATGTAATTTAGTGATTGGTTACCAGTGTCCAGAGGATGTAGATGGTGAACAGAGCGATGGTGAGAGCGATGAGGCCGACGGCCTCGAGTCTGCTCTTCAGCTGCAGGTGGTCCTGGGCTCCCCTCAGACACAGCCAGCCAGAGATGGCTGCCAGGGGTGTGATGAGAAGGAAGCAGGCCATGTCGCAGAGCAGCGTGCGCTTCTCACTGCGAGGGCCGGGGTCCTTCAGCCACTGAGCGAGAGAAAAGTGAAAAAATCATTAGTTTATCTGAAAATGAACTTTACTACAACTCGGTTACTACTACACAAAGTAGAACTTCTCTAACCTGTGTGAGTGGCTGTGGTCGCCGTTCGATAGTGAACTCTGTGTGACAGAGCTCACAGTAGCTGGTGTTGGAGGAGGACAGCCACTTCTCCAAGCAGCTCTTGTGCACTTTACCCAGTGTGCCAGTGCAGTCGCAGGGTGAGAGCAGCGTCTCTCCTCCAGCTCCCTCGTGACAAATCCGACACATGCCCACATCACTGTGCAGAGAGACAGGAAAGCAGAGGGGAGCAATGATATGATGATTAAGCGGCGCGCAATTAAATTAGAGTAGAATCATTGGGCCCCCAGTGAGTTCCTCCCTCTCTTACCTCTGCAAGCTCACCGCTTTGACAACAGTGGAGAGTGGGCGGCCATCTTTAGCCGTAACCTTGGCAATGTACTGGGCCTGGGCAGTAGAATCAGACTCCTCCGAATCCTTGGAGGCGTCTGATTCAGCGTTCCCAGAGTAATCACAAAGGGAGCCGGGTAGGTGGCAGCACCCTGAAGACGACATGGCTCAACTGTGGGTGACAGTGATGGTGAAGGCAACTGTAAACCAAGTTCTGTCTCCTCTCCTCCTCTGACCACCTACAGAGAAAATGCCTGTTGGAGATAAACAGGACACAAAGTATGAGTGAAGTGGAAGCATAGGAACATGATGTTACACAGTGTGAGCCTCTCATGAGATTCTTTACAAGTCTCATGATGCCATATTACATGACATCATAAAACTGTGCTATACTTATTTTCTTTTGGAAAATTTCAAGGTCCGCAGGTCTTTTTTAGATTTCTTTGAGTTGATACTTGTTTGTGTATGCCACCTCTGTCGTTTTGCTTGTTGGTTGGTTTGTTCACATGTTTCAGTAAATCATGAAATGATGACAGCACTTTGTTAGTACTTTACTTTGTTAGTAAATAAACACATCACATTACTAGATGGTGAGAAAATTGTGACATTTTGGTTAGAGCTTGGAGCAGAGGGGGCCTTGACAGGAACACATTGTTTACTGTTTACTACCACTGCTATGGTAGACTGCGTCCAGACTGAAGTTATCAACACACTCCTGAGACTTCCTTGGAAATATGATAGACAACATGTGAGCTTAAAAACACATTAGCTGAGTATAAAGGCTTTGGCGGTCAAACAAAAACAAACCACGGAACTGTGACAGCGATTTGAATGCGTCTTCAGACTGAGGAAGGTTAACACTACAGATCATCATGTTTGACATCAGGAAAGGAAAACCTCAGACAGGAGGATCTCTGAAGATCTACCTTTCACACTTACATGACATGATAAACATTTTAACTGTCACCGCCACTTTCGGCCCAAACACAGAGATGATCTGTGTAGCGTTGTTAATGTGCAGCCGCAGACAAAGACTCCGTTTGTCTCTCCAGCAGTAAACCTCATTTGAGCAGCTGTCAGACCCGCAGGCTGGTGTGTGTGACGCGGGTTCGCACGACAGCTCCTAAACGACGTGTAAAATCAGATGTTAAGGTAAAATTTACTCACCCGACGGCCTCCCCCCTTTTTCCTCGCTTGGCCTTGGCCCTGTGTTAGCCAGACACAGGCTAGCGGAGCTAACTACACAGCCCTAGCTCCAGACTGTGACATTGACATCTAACCAAAAGCTGCCGATACGAGGGGATACGAAACGCGGCCACATGCGCGGTGTCCTCCCCATGGCCCGTGGAACATCTCTCCCCGGCTGGTTCTGTCTGAAAGGGCGAAAAAACACGGCTGCTCCTGCCTGGATTTACCAGACGCGGCTAACGCAGCTAGCAGGCTAGCATCGGACAAGCCTACCCCAGCGTCCGTCAGCTGTGCTGTGGTCATGTGACACGTGCTGCCTTCACGGACATTAGTCATAATGGAATAATGGGCACATCGGTCATTAACTTGTTATCACTGTGACAAACACGGGGGGGGGGGATTTTATTAATATTTTTTTATTCGATCACTTTTTTTTTACCAATTACTTTACATAAGTGAGTTTTAAAGGTTAAACTAAATGAAATCAAAGCAGCCATCACAACTTCATGGTCTGTGATCTATTTTATATATATTTATATACAGTTTATGGCAATGACACAGCCCCCCCCTCTGCATCATCAGTTTACATGGAGCAGTGAACGCAGCGCACGGTACAAATAGCAACACATCTGTCTGTCGGATTAACTGAAGCTCAAATGTTTCATCGTTTCACTGCTGCTTCATTTTAGGAAGGAAACGTCCATCGCCCTCCAGAGAAACATCTGGCGCAGGTCGCATGTCTAATCCAACCCGCTAGGTGGCAGCATTTAGTGACCCCTACAGGTTTAAGGCTGTTGACCCTGAGGTGAGGAGCACACACACTCTGAGAAAACTCTGACACAGCAACTCTGGAAGAGACTGATCTTATCTTACACTAGTGATAAGATAAGTGATAGTGCTTACAGTACTTTTCATATTCAATATTTGTGTCCTACTTTAAAATTTTTATTTTTATACTTGGAAAAATACACCACAGCAAATTCCCGGTATGTGTAAACCTGCTTGGCAATTAAACCCAACTCTGAGATATACAGTGAGATCAATAGAGCTAAACATAGATTCTGATATTCAATTTAATGGACCTCTCTGTAGGATACTTAAAGTATCCTACAAGGGCAGGTGGTTATTCACATACTGGCCTATTGAATATAGAATTTGGTGAAGTTTATTTATGGTGGTAATATAGATTCAACCACAGGCTGGCCATAAAGATGATGTGACTGCTTCCTAAAAGTGAAGCCAAAGTTCATCGGTGGCTGATTGCAGTGTAGATCATAAAATCCAACCTCCTCCATGTTAAGTGATGTGACATGGACCAAATAAAATAGTAAAAGTACATGTTACACAAACAGATGATTTCTGTCATTGCAAGTAGTTCTGTCCACAATGAGGTATGTTCAAGTATTTTTTCAAATAACTTTGGTTTTAATTGGTATTTGATAATATAAAAACTTGATTGATTGACTCATGATCTGTCAAGTGCATGTAGCAGTGGAACAAACAAATAACAACTGAATCAAGTAAAGAAAGCAGGAAATACAGGCCTATAACAAACAGTAGCCGGCATAAAAATATATCAGATTACCACCCATGTTTTAAATATCGCTTACATGTTAACAATACATCAGTGATAATAGTTCAATACTGTTGTGTTGAGCCAGGTCATTGACATTTTAAACCTTCCTGTTTTTGGTTATAGTCCCTGGAAAACAAACAAACTCAATGACATGAGTCTGCAAAAGCAAACGTTTTGAAAAGTCCCCTCGACCCAGATCTTGACCAACTGACACATCTGTTTTTGAGCCCATCCTCAGTCTGCCGTGTCACTTCTGGACCAAAACTGAGTATTTGATTGGTGTATATGCAAAAAAAAAGATTTAAAATTAATACTATTATATGTAATAACATGCAAGACCACAATATTTTGGACATTTATAAAATGTACCCATCACAAAATTTTCAATATCTATTTAGTGTAACCTAAAATAGTAACCTCCACATGTTTTTGTTAATCATTAGTCAAACAATATCTATTTTGGTCATAATGCCCCGTGTTACCTTCTCCCCCTCTGTCTTTCTGCTCATTCCCTTTGAACCCAAACACTGATAAGAGGGAGTCCACTCGTGTGATCCTGCACCCTACTGGGAAATGCACACACACACACACACACACACAGGTTTGCGCAACTATCCTTGTAAGGACTTTGCATTACCTAACCTTAACCATAACCAAGTCATGTCTGTCCCTAATCTTAACCTAATTATAATTCACATCTTACCTCTAACCTTAACTAGGACATTAGAACTGAAGTTTGAGGCTGAAGAGGCTTTGGTCCCCACGAGGTCAACATTCCCACACTCGAATACATGCCCACACACATGCACACACATACACAGGGATGACAAAAACTTTAAAAACTGGGAGTTTCACTGTTGACCCTCTGTTAACCCACAAACAGCCCATTACATTTGTGAGGACCAGCAAAGATGTCCTCACAAAGTCAAAATGTCCTCACAATGATCGCATTGAACCAAAACTGTCAATCCTAACTTTTGACATGTGCAGACACATGCACACACACACACCTCCCAGGCCATGTGGCTCATTAACTTCCCCATGCGGCTATTTGGTCAAAGTCCAAAAGAGGTCATGAGACACTACCTCTCCGCATGTGTGGGATGTCATGAGACATGTGTTAGTGGACTTTAACATGGACAGACACACAAACGCACATGCAGGTCATTTACACGCCATTTTTTACTGTAAAATGTCTCTAACATTTATATATTCGAGTTTCTGTTGAATACTAAGCAGCAGTTGAATACTAAGCAGCAGTTGAATACTAAGCGGCACATTTATTTCCTGGAGAAATGTACGAGTAATATTTATATATGAAAGTTTCTATTGAACATTAAGTAGTAAAATAAATGTGTCACGCGCAGGTGTGTGTGTGTGTGTGTGTTGGCTATGTCAAGAGCATGTTTTATTTGATCTCTAGTGAGGAGATTTTTTGTCAGACAGCCAAAATAAATTGTATATGCACTATGCACACACACTCCATTTACTTTAATAAATGCAATATGTTTGTTAATATAACTCACCCAAAACTAGTTTTGTATTGAGATTATTCTTCTCTTATTTTAAACAATTTGTAAAATACTATAAATTTGAAGTCAAGTGTGTGTATTTTAAATTGATGTGGTAGATTTTCAAGAGCAGTTTACAGGAAAATAAATGTATAAAAAATGTTAGCAGCATGCTTCTCTTTTTGAACCAACTCTTTGCCTGTGAGATACAGTAGAGATTCTGTAGTTTCATGACGGGATCAAAATGAGCTCACCTGTCTGTCTGTGACGTCAGAGCTCACCTGAGAGCCTGCAACTCACCTGTCTTTTTACTTCAGTGCTCGTTCAAGTTCATGTTATACTGCATTTTCCTCTCAAGCCAAGAACAGAAAAGTGCATTTTCAAAACCTTTGTGAGATGTGTATCTGTATCCCTACATCATTTAACTCAAGCACCACAGAGAGAAACAGGGATAGTGAGACACTCAGAGAGTGAGACAGACAGGCAGATTGCATGAAGACAGGCAGATTGCATAATTTATTCTCAGCGTTTTGCTTTCAATAACAGTATAATTCAGTTGCTGCAGTTCCATCTCGTGATCCTTTAAACTGTCACCAGGAGTCCTCATGAGTGGGACAGTAATTTGGTTTCATTCATTTTCAGGGAGTCTGGTCCATGTGAGACACTAACTCGACCGTGCTGTCTTTCTCATGCTACAAACTTACACTCAACACACAGTCTGGGAAGTTAATTTATGGTTTGGTTTGTATTCATATAGATCTTTTCTAGTCTTGCGCTTTACAGTACAGTTTGCCATCACCCATTCACACACACATTCATACAGTTTATCTATTAGCAGCACCCTTTTTTCTATGAGGGGCAATTCAGGGATCAGCATCATGGCCAAGGACACTTCGGCATGCAGATGCGGAAGACTGGGATTGAGCTGCCGACCTTCTGGTTGGAGGACGACTGATCTACCCCTCAGCCACAGCCACCCCGTATCTATTACACTTCTGTCCGTCCTTAGAGAGGGATCCCTCACATGTGGCTCTCACTGAGGTTTCCTGTCCCTTGGTAATAGTTTTTTTTGTAGTTTTTCCTCACTCTTGTTGAGGGTTAAGGACAGAGGATGTTTCACCTTGTTAAGCCCTATAAGACAAATGTAATGTAATGTGAATATGGGCTATACAAATCAAATTGTATTGACTGATTATTGATTATTTGTAGTGGGCATTTCCAAAAGTACTAAAGAGTACATGGAAATTAAGAGGGGAGCCTTATAACTCACCTGATTGAGCGGATGCCCCTCTCAACTTTGATATACTCTTTAGTATTTTGGGAAATAGACACCACTGGAAATAAGTTTATTGACACTATATTCTATGTATCACTGTCTGTCTTCCAGTGTTTAGTTTGTGCCTAATAAACATGATATTTACTCCACATGCTTTCAAATACTGTTTAAAGCTGCATTGGATATCCTTAGAAATTTCATTCTGGACCCTTCTAAGTACCATCATGTGTTTATCTATCCATCAGAGTGCTTATTTTTGATGTTCTGGACTTTCACCTTGCTTTTGCCGTATTGATTTAAAGATATGAATAGTTCCGCTGGCATGGAAAAAAGAGAAAACATGAAACTGATAATAGTTAATCTCCAAATTGATTCCATACAAGTAAAAGTAAAACAATTTAGACCAATCAAAAGCAACCTCAATATCATAAGTAAATAAAAAAAAGTATTTGTTCCTGTAAATGCATTTAGTTCACAAATATAATAATACAGCTATTAAAATAAACAAGGCACAATACACAAGACACACTTGATATTTAACTTTTTAGAAATATTAGACAGCATTTTCCCTGGATATGGCAAAATTTTAAAAAGAGCAAATTTTCTCATTTGCATGTCGAACAATAGAGATGGTGGTTTCAACCAGATTCCCATGTGAATATTTGGATTTTCAATCTTTATTTAAAGGCAACCACCTCATTTACAGTATATTGTTTAATAGTTCAGACACCATCCTCCTTTCATCTCCTGAGTCTTCCACCCAAAAATCATCATATCATGAGACCCGGTTAAACTCTCTAATGCAGGACACGACATTATTGGTTTTGACTACAAATGTGAAAAGTGAACCCATGACTCCAACTTGTCATACTGTGCTCCCAATTACAAAACTGTGCAGATTCCTTCAGCTACATAATCAAATCAGCCGGCTTACTATTCTGAAGGTGGTCAGCTGATCAGGATGATCACAATGATTGTAGGAGACGTATGTGAGGACCAACGTGCGCTGGATTTGAAACAGCAGACTGCTTTATCTAAAGCTGGAAAGATTTGCACAGCATCCTGCCAAGCAATAGGCTTGTGCATTTGTGTATTTAAGTTAATTAAATAATGAATGTGTGATTTACTTAAAACGCACAGGAAAAAAAGGTTTAATTTTGGTGGAACCAATTCAAGTATTTTTTGAGTTAGTAAATAATTTTCTTTTGTCAGTGTATTGCAATCAAGTGAGTTATTTACATGGCATACACTTCATTACACTGATACCGTAAATCTAATAATGACATGTCATTTAAAGCACACTACTGCAAAAAAAACATCTTTGTAGAAATAATAAAAGAAACACTAGTCCAGTATCATCAGCAGAATAAGAAAATGTTTGAATTTTGATAAATAGCTACCGCATCACCTGAACCTACTGTAGGAATTGAAGACTTTTTGCACATGAGCCTCCCTCTATTTAAACAGTATTATAGGACAATACAATGTGATTTAATGCTAAGTAGCATTAAATCACATTGCCCCATCTTTGGACACCTACAGGAAACTCAATTAGACCCACTTGTTCACCAAAGCTTATGGACTCTAGCCTCAGCCAACCATCAGTATTCAGCCAATTATCAGTATTATTATCTTGTGTTCGTTTCTTTTATTTTGTGTTTTCCCCCTGTAAAGCGCCTTGGGTACCCTGAAAGGCGCTATACAAACCCAAATTATTAATTAATTATTATTAGGTTTTCAACATGCAATGCATTTGCTTTGGTGCTTGGTACTGCAGTTCAAGGAGACAGATAATGACAAGAACCTAAAGTAAGAGCAATGAGTGAAAGCACAATAAAATTTTATATGTATAAAGAAATGACAGCTAAAATGTATTCAAATTTGTACAATATGAAAATGTGTGCAATATGACCTGGAGGGATTTGGCTTTGTTTGACAAATATAAACACAGGAAACGAGAAAGCCTACCATAAAATCCAATTTACTCCAATCACTTGTTTCTGGCACATACTTTCAAAAGACATTTTAAAAGTATGTGCAATAAATTACAGCTTGATATGGCTCTATGATGATGGCTACGACTCATACACTGTTCTCTCCACTAGAATAAACACACTTAGAACAACTGCTGCAAATATTTGGTCTTATGATCTCATTAAAGCTGCAGACAGCATCGTATCCACAGATGAAACCGTGTCACCACAGTAAACATGTGCATTATAAACAATCTAAACACCGCAGCTCGGATCGTTCAGGTTCGACCATGTGAACAGTGCATGGTCGGGGTGGACGCGTTGTGACGTCAGGGGCCGTGCTGACCAATGGCAGCGCGTGTTCGCCGAGCCTATGACAGTACAGTAAATACCGTGAGCTCCGCAGCGATCACAGCGGAGGAGGAAAAAAACACGATGAGCTATAAAACCGATCGTCGGTGCTGAGGAATCGTTTTGTCGGTGACTGTCCCGCTGAGGCTCACGCTGTCCGGAGCTCTGTGCTGTGGTCGAGGGGAATCTGTGTCAGAGGCGAGGGACACGCGGAGGGCACTCGGCCTCACTGCAGTGTGATTCACCGGAGACTCGCCCCACCACCACCACCGCTTCATCATCGTCGCCGTTGGCCCGTTGGACGGTCGCATCCTCTCGGCCCGTGTGTGGCCCCTCTGCCGAGGCTCCTGTGCGCGCTGCTCGGCGGAGCATGTTAAATAATGAGTCAAAGGGACACACTGGTTCATTTGTTCGCTGGAGGGTGAGTCACACAACCCGTCTCGACTCTCAACACAGTCGTGCTGTTTGCTTTTACTCATTATTTAGCAATGGAGGTTTTCTTTTTTTCTGCACTGCGCGTGCGCGTGCTCCACTTACAACCACGGCGGCGTGCACGTCAGTGTCAAACCCGTCGATTTGAACGACACTTCCTGTCAACCCTTCAAAATATGTTCATTTGTTACTGGAAAATACCACAAGAAGAGAGTGAATGAAGCTTATTTGGATTCACAGTTTACACTTTGTATCTTATCTCGTGTGTATTCATCAACCCTTGAATGTCGTGTTTTTACTTACAAGTACCAGCATTTTACAACTTTATTTCGAAGGCAAGTGAAATCCATTTCCGGGTTCATCGCTGCTCTGTCACTGCAGCTTGATAGAATTCCCGCAGCCACAGCAGTCTGAGGTTTTCTCTGAAATTGAGCATTTTAACAACATAATAGATGAATTAGGAGAATGAAGCCAAATACAAGTTATAGATCTACATATACTGAACCAAGACTATGATTAATAACCATATATTATCTTTGTTTATGGATAAACATTATATATATGTATATATAACATATAGCTGCTGAAACCCCATTCTGTATAACACTTTCAGGGCTATTTAAGGGTTGCTAAATGTTTTTTGCCAAGAACCTTCAGGTACAATAGATGTGCATTTACCTGCAAACATCCTTCTCATCATTTCTGTTCCCAAAACCAATCCTTTGAAGACTTATACTGTTGTGCAACTCTTCCCACAATATGTGGAATAATTAGTGTTTTCCATTGCATTTTACATTTCCAAGACCACAGATGGAGGACAACACATTATGAGTAATGTAGATAAGAAACACAACTGCTCAGCAACAATTTTCATTCACAATTCACAAACAAACTAAAATCATTAAAGGAGAAGAAGTAAGATTGCTGCATTAAATCTATCTTGTCTTCAGTCTGCTGCTTCCAGTTTATCTGTGTGTGACAACTCTTCTTTCTTTTTTGCTCCAAACCGTAGACATTTAAATATGCTAATCTCATCGCACCAGGACTCCCCTCTTAACTCTTTTATCAGGGATTTAAAATGTGAAAACAACTCACAGTGTGTCGCTATCTCTTAAAAAACAGAATCTGATCTGAGCTGGCAGCCTCAGCGCAGAGCTTCCTTTATCACAGACACTGTCAGACACATACATGCAGCCGCCACTGTAGCCCCTAAAAGTAGGCTAAAGGTCATTACTGCCTGTGAGCATGAATGTTGCTACTCTAAAGAGAGAGCAGCTCCAGGAATTCACTGCCAACAGCCATGAACTTAGCTCACACCAGTGTACGACTAAAACTAGTATTCACTCTTAATTTGTCACAATAGTCAACAATGTCCTTTTGTGGAAGGTCAGCAGTCAAACAGTTTAAAGTGTTGAATCTCAACTAATGACCTGTTTGAAATGTTACATGTACTCTCTGTAGGTGGACTATTCAAATACCGGTTCATTTATGAACAGTCACGTTTTTATTTATGTTGTGTATGTGTTTGTGAGCAAACTAAGCAGCACTCCTAATTTTCATGCCTTCTCAAATAGCAAAATGTCAGCACACGGGTTACAATTACACCGAGGAGTCATGAACATTTATTGACAGCTTATTCATTGCAGTATGACAACAGCAGGTCACGGTGTGCGTTAGGGGCTTCTCCTAGATAATTATAGAGCAAACAGAAATAATAGATTGTGTTACCGAATGACTGGGGAGACCAGTGCTGAAGGATGGTTTAACAAAGACATAAATAGACATTTGGACTGGTTGTTTGAAAAAGTAGCAAATTGAAGTGAGCCTTCAATTGATTACTAAAATACATACATATTATTTGTTTCTGTTCCCTCTCTCTTATGACCAATGCAAATGCTAAGCAAGAGTGTGAATGTGTTTATTTTGTTTGTCCCTCCATGCTTTCCTAATTGCTTCCACCACCCCCTGTGTATCTGCCCCCTCTCTTCCTCTCGACCTCTTCCCTCTGTAGATGTGGAGGTACTGTGGGTGCTATTTTGACTTGTCCTCTGGAAGTGGTGAAAACCAGACTACAGTCCTCCTCCGTCACCCTCTACATCTCTGAAGTGCAGCTCAGCACCGTCAATGGAGCCAGTGTGGCCCGTGTCGCTCCCCCAGGGCCTCTGCACTGTCTCAAGTAAGGAGAATGACACAGAATGCTAATTTTGATTAAATATGATTTAAAGAGAAACTATATTAAGGTGATTAGCTATGGGCGTAGAATGCTAATGTAAAGTATGTCAGCCAAATCTTTGCTTAACTAATACATCAGAACTTATTCTAGCTCTGGAAAATGAACAGTGTCTGTTTATACTATAATTCCCAAACTACTTTTGTTTTCTGTAAATCAAAGATATACGGGTATGGACACCTCGTGCAAACTACACATTTACACTTTATAACAAAAATGCAACAGTGGGAGATTACATACAACTGTGCCGGAACAAGTTGTAGCAGTGGCATGTCTGATAGATTTAGAAAAGTTTCAACACACACACACACACACACACACACACACA